TGCAGCACCCCAATGGGTGTGGGATGCGGGGGGAGGCAGCCACCGCCGTGGAGAGGGGATTAACTCGTCTGAGTCGTGCTGCTCCCGGGGTGGGGCTGGAGTGGCTCAGCCTTGTCCCTCACACCCCTGTTCTCAGCTCGCAGCCGCTCGGGGACGGCTCTCCACTTCTACTTCTCTTCCTGCGTCTCCATGGCAGAGGTGTGAGCCCTGACCCCTCTCTCCGAACACCCTCCCCACGACGGAGGGGCAGTGCAGATAGGAGGGAAGGGGCTTTTCTGGTCTCTGCTCCCCTCCCCGGGGCGGAGGTGCAGCCCCATCCTGCCCCGCCGTCCTGGCCGGGCTCTCCTCCAGCCAAAGCAGGGGCGTAACTCAAATCTGCTGTGGGTTGGCAGCACCGGCTGGTCTAGGGTTTCGCTGAGCCGGCTGCCTTCGCTAATTATTCCCAGGGAACTTGTAGGGGCGGCGAAGCCCCCCTCCTGCCCTACAGGCTCTGTCGCCTGCCATGCATGTGCCCCGGTGCGCAGCGCTGCCCATCCCCTGCCGGGATCCCGACCCCAAACGCCCCGGTGCCACCGGCCCCGGCTCCCCCATCCGCAGCAGCCCGGAGGAGAAGAGGTTGTGGGGTGGCCAGGGTTTGGGCAAGGGTTCAAACGCCATCAAAAGGGGGACAGAAGGCTGCTCCATTGCAAGGTGTCGACGTTTAATTAGTCTATTATTACAAATTATTAGATCTTGTGATTGTTTAATTGATCATATGATTGTTTAATTGGACATACTGTACAAGGGCGGAAGCGAGCTACCACGTAATTAGCCCCAAACTGTGCAATTAAATTCTTATTAATACCCCAAACAGCAGGGAACATTCAAGCCTTTAATTAGTGATTAACGGGAGACAGACAGAGCTTGCAACCGAGTCGGCGCTGAGGAACAGTGCGAGTATTTAGCCGGGTAAGAGGGGGGACCCGTCCGCCCCGATTAGTGCCGGGTGGCTGCGCCAGGGGGGTGAGGGGACGGTCACGCGTGCTGGTGTGACCCTGTCCCCGAGCAGGGGACAGCCACCCATCCCAGTGTGGCACAAGCCCAGCCTGGTCTCCCGTGTTGGCTGGCCAGGATCGTGCCAAAATCCTGCCTCGGCTCCCACTAAGGCGGCAGCAGTTTGCTGACACCCAGCCCAGGCTGGGAGCAAGAACCCGCAGCCGGCAGCATCGCTGCTGGCAGGCAGAGGGGATGATGAGCAAGAGGAGGTTTCTCCCCAGAAAACCACCTCCTGGGAGGATTTGAGGCAGGTTCCCAGGAAAAGGTGGCCCCAGGGCTGATGGGGACGTGCCAGCCAGGAGGTGATGCCATGAAAAGGCTCCAGCCAGTTACTCTCTCACCAATTAAATTGGAGGCAGAGAGGGACCCGCACGGAGGGCGGTGAATCATTTACCTGACCTTTCTCCTCTGCTGCCCATCGCCTCCCCTCTGGGCTGCCATCCCCACTCCTTCCCCAGAGGATGCCGGCGGCTCATGGGGGCGGCCCCGAGCATTCCCAACGGGATGGCAAAGCTGCCTTTTTGGGTGACCCCACTGGCCTTTCAGTGATGCAAGGGAGCACCCTCCAAAAAATGCTTCTTTGCAAGCATTTACGTGCAGCTGCCCCTGTTCAGTGGCGCAAACCACAGCTCGTCCCTGTCCCGTTATCTGGTGAGTGTGAGAGCACTCAGTCGGGGTACTTCACCACATCTCTCCCAGCCCCAGCAAATCCTGGCCAAGCGTCAGCATCCCCGGCACAGCAGCACTCCCGGCTGCCCGGGACCACAGGCAGTATTTGCTGCTCTCCCCCCAGGCTCTGCATCCCATTGCCTAGTGCCGTGGCAGAATTTGCCTCAAAAGTCCCTATTTTTCACTGGCACCGGGGGAAAAAATGAGCTCAAAAGGCACAAGCCCCCGAAGGCACCTACCGCCACGCCAGACTGTTATTTTGATGCCTGCCATGTGATTTTTACACTAATCTCATAACTCGGGGGAGCTCCAGGGGGAGTTGAGGTTTGTGCGCGTGGTGCCGGCAGCACCGAGGCCGGCACCAACCTTTCACTCAACTCCTTTAAGCCTCCGAAAAGGCGCTTTTTTTTTTTTTTTCTTTTCTTAGGGCTGGGCTTTTCTCCAG